CTTAAAAAATTATCAATTAATTATTTAAAATTATGATAGCATTAAATAATTTTATTTATTATGATAATAAATAATTTTAATTACGATGATATAAATAATTATTTTTAAATTATTTTATCATAATAAATCAATTACTCATTTAATTAAACAATGTTAAATATTTACGAGTTAAATATAATTTTTAATTTAATAATTTAATCTAATTATAATTAGGTTGAGTTATGGTGATAAGTCATTACATAATTTAAAAAATATTTATTAGAAAGTTACTTTAAAATAAATATTTAATTTTTTTCTTAACAAAATGTATTGTAATACCAAAAATTTATAACATAATATTTTTTAAAATATAATATATTTAAATAATATAAATATTTTATTTTTAAAAATAATAAAATACCTATTTTATCAAATTTTAATTTAGTATTTTTAATAAAAAGAATAAAATGAGTGAAAAAAAGAGAAAGACAAAAAGGGAAACAAACAAGAGAAAAAAGAACAATAAAAAGTAAATGAAGAAAGGAAAAAAATAAAAAAGAAAATAGAGGAAAATAAGTATATTATATTAAAGGAATTTAATTTTCATTATTAAATTTTACATATAAACACTAAATATGTCTAATTTGACAAATAATCTTATAGAGATTCTATTTTATTTTTTAGTTTGATTCAAAAGATACAATGATTAATACACAAACATAAAATGATATTTACTTAGTTCCATATATTTGAATATTGCTCTGAATAATATATTATGAAATAAGATCACAATACATTAAATTTTATAGAATAAGATCCCAAAATATATATATATATATATATATATATATATATAAATTAGAAAAAATAAACATTTATATTCCATACATTTTATCAAATTAAGTATCTATTTACATAGGTATAAAATTTTTGGTGGGAAAAATCGAGAATCTGAATCGATAATCGAAAGAAGAAATTCGATGATTAGGAAAATTGATATATGGATCGAAAAGCGGATGGAAGGAAATCGAGGACCATATGTTGGTTAAAAAATCGATAGATAAATCGAAAAGTGGTTGGAAGACATTCGATAATCGTGTTGGTGGGAAAGAAATCGATATGTGAAATCGAGAGTTGTTCGATGACCATGTATTAGTATGAAAATATAGATCGAAAATCGAATGGGAGAAAATCGATGACATGAGGGAGAGTAAAAATGATGTTTATCGAAGGCAGTCAGAAAGCAGTTCAAAGTACTTGGTGTCTGAAATCGAGATCGAGGAATGGTTAACGCGCACATGGAACATGGGAAGCAGTTGTCTAAAACGTGGCTAAAGTGGAAATCGAGGCAGTTAACATGCACATGGAACGTGGTAGCGGTTTTTTATCCACTCTTAGGAGGTTACGTTGAAGCGGGCCTATAAATAGAATGAAGCATGAAGAAGGGGAAATTGGCAGAGACAACAGAAACACAAGTGAAAAGTCTATCAGAGAACGACGAATCATGAAGTTTCTGGCGATCTGGATCTCCATTTTCATTGACTGTTTTTAACGTTTTCTTTACTTTCCCTAGTACTTTATCTTTAATGCAATTTAAATTTATGTCATTTACTCTTATGCAATTCTACGATTTTGCATTTACTCTTATGCAATTCTACGATTCTACATTTACTCTTATGCCATTTTACGATTATGTATTTACTCTTATGCAATTTTACGATTCTGCATTTACTCTTATGCAATTTTACTATTCATTGGCATTTACACTTATGCAAGTTTAAGCTTCTGCATTTAATGCTTTCTTTACTTTCTCAGTAATTTATTTACTCGCACGTTTAATTTAATTTCTAGTATTGTCGATTACTTTTATGCGCATTTTAATTTATGTCATTTACTCTTAGTGCAATTTAATTTCATGTGTTACTTTATTGCTTCGATGTTCTTTTACTACTTTCTTTACTTCTGATAAGTTTCATTTTCTCAAGTCTTTTAATATAAAAAATATAAAAAGAGTACTTTCGATTTCGATATGTATGTTTTATCATGCATTCCGTGTTTCTAATATACGTGCATGCTTTATTTTTCATTTCGGCTCGATCATTGTGGACATTTTCGATTTTTCATATATTTTTTGATTGAAAAATGTTTGCTAGCCTAAATAAAAAGAATTTGCGTGGTTAATAAAAAGAATTTTCATACTTTTTAATTTTTATTAGTCTTTATTATTATTTGTGCAAAATTTGTATTCTTTCAAAAATATAACTAAATCAAATTATAAATATTTAAATCATATAAATAATAATAAAGACTAATAAAAATTAAAAAGATTAAATAGACAATCAATAATAATTTATATTAAAAAAACAATTTTATCTTAATTAATTAAGTTTAATTGACAAAATTCTTATTAAATGTATAGTGTAATCTCATTTACATGATTTAGAAATAATAATCCGTGAATATTGATTTCACATTTGATATTTATTCATCTCTTTTAATACAGCATTTTTTTTATCATATTTAGTTTGTTCGTTAAAAAAACAACTAGAAAATTATTATTGTCGAAATGGTTTACTTTTTAATAAATGATAATATTGGGGAAAATATTTATTGTTTTGAAAATAAATTCTGCGAATTTCAAATTCTCACAACAATAAAAATGAAACTAATTCTTTTTAAACTCTATTCCTTAAAATAATTTGACTTTTTTTTCCTTCGAAAAAATCATCTTCATTTTAATAAGAAATTTAGGATAATTAACTATTATATATGTGTTCTAAGATGTAAGATTAGTAAATCATAATTTAATAAATCCATTCTATTTAAAATATTTCTATACTTGTATTTAACATTTTACATGAACGATTTTTGACTTTTTTTTATTATGATATCGATTAATGATCGAAAGTAATAACCAATACTTTCATATTTTGAAAATATTTCATTTAATTAACTCCTAAATTACCAGTGGTTAAACTAGCCTATTATATTATCAATAAATATAACATTTAATAAGAAAATTAAAAAAAAATTAGGACAATAAACTTATGTTTGATACTAATGAAAGGAATATAGAATTAAATAGGCCCAAAAAATTGAAATAGTAATAAATAAAAACATGTACAAATGAAAAAAATTAAAAAAATGATATAATTAACAGTAAAAATGATATATTTAATATGTACAAAAACTGTATAATAAGCCCAATTTAAATAAAAATGGGTCAGGTTCGGCCCATATTGTATTTCAAATAAGATAAGTAATTCAATCGCAAGTATCAAAAGTTCAGATAAACATCATTAAATTTCAGGATTTATATTACTTCCCTCGACTCAATTATGAAAATAATTAATTATTTTCATATTGATTAAAAATAGTAGTTAAGTTGATTTAAAATTTTTGTTACCTTGTAATAAAGAATTAAAATTTCTAAGTTATCCTTAATTAATTATTATATTTATTGAGAATGTGAATGATGATTAAGTTTAAACAATAAAAGTTCAAATACATTTTACTTACCATCATATAGATTTTATTCATGATTTCTTTTATTTCCTATAATTGTAACATTTTCTTGGCCTTTTTAAAGACATTTGCAACATTAAATTTGTTTTGACACCATACTTTTACTTTTAAATTATACTATTTTTATTAAAATTTAAATTACAATTTTTAATATATATATATATATATATATATAAAGATAAAATATTATTTTATTTTAAAATACTTTTTTTTTCGTCTATCATTTATTTATTATAATATAATAGTTAAGATAAATTATTAAATTAGATTATTAGACAAATAATAATAATAATAATAATAATAATAATAATAATAATAAAAATAAATTTCTAATTATTATTATTAGTGAAAATATATCACTTATTCAAAGAGTAAGATTCACATATTTACTCATTTTCCTTATCATTTAATACGATAATTCAATGATCTATAGCCTGCTAAATCATCTTAATTATTAGATTAAGAAAAAAACAAAAAGAAAAGATCAAGACAAAGTTTTTAAATTTTGTTGTGTGAGATATGAAATATGTGAATCCTTTTATATAAATAAAATGATATAGAAATAGAAGAAAAATAAGATAAAACCTTCTCACACCTATTTTATTATGATTAAGAAAAAATATTATATTTCTAAAAATTTATATGAATATCTTAAAAGAAAAAAAGGAAGTATAATTTATGAATAAATTTCTTTTCCAATATAATAAGAGAAAATAGAATAACTATCTTCGTTTGTAGTTAAAGATTAGTGCATATATATATTAAAAATAATAATGAATGTATTACTTTCAAAATAATTTTACTGAATTAACTTTTTTTTTTATATAAATACATTATTTTGAATAAGAAAAAAGTAATTAATTTAAGAAAAAGTAATTAATTTTAAATGGGATAAAAGGATTGAGGGACAGTATTTATGAATGAGATGTGGTGTATTGTACGTTATGTTTGAAAAGAGAGGCAAAAGAATAGGAAAAGGTTTACAAGCATTAACTGATTAATGGATTGAATCAATTAATTGAAACTTATGCTAACGTTTGCATTGTTTTTTTACCAACATTTTTTGTTTTTGAAAATACATCTTTATAAATAAATGCCTGGCAGTTTCATCTTTATTACACTCACTATCCTTAAAGGTCTCTTTAATTGATGACGGATCATTATTATTAATTTTAATATATTAATAAATTAATATAAAAAAATAATAATACGAAAGAAAGAGAGATTAAATTTATAAATATACAAACAAATATATTTAATAATGATTAAGTTTAAAAGATCTAAAATTATAAATACTAGAGAACAATTATTTAACTCAGGGATTAAAATTTTAAGCAGCATGACCCTTCATCTGGCAAAAACATCGTTCACTCACCCAAATATTTTTTATTTGTTTCCATAGGCAATTTGGAGTATATAAATGCACGAGGACTTCTCTTCCATGAGATCTATCACTACACAAAACTAAACACTCTTCCCGAAATCATATCAAAAAAATGAAAACCCATCTTTGTTTCTCCTTCCTCGTGCTTGGTCTTCTCGTTGCTTGTGGTAAGAACCATTGAGAGAAATTCAACGTATATTAGTTATTTAATTATTTTTTGGATGTGTAATGAATGGATTTTGAGAAGATTAATTATGTGATTGGTGTAGGAAATGAGGTGGAAGCAGTGGTGGAACCTAATTGCATAGTGCAAGGCACAACTCAGCATTGTGAACCTTTCAACAGTCCTTGTGGGTGGGTTTGCAGATCACATTTCAAATCAGAAAAAGCAGTGGGAGTTTGTAGTGAAAAGTACCATACATGTGTTTGTTATCTTTGTTAAATTCTTTTTTACACCTATATTCAATGTATGTGTAAGAGGATGAAGTGAAATATATATAAAATGGAAATAAAATGATGCATTATGTTTTTCATTCTCATCTTCACAAAAAGGTTGTCCTTTTTATTATCAACGAATGCCTTTTATAAATAAAAGGACGAAATTCAAGTTACATTTAATGCTTTGTTTCGTATATGAATGAAATAAAGAGAAGGAAAATTAGCAGCTAAAAAAAAGGAAAAAGAAGAGGAAGCAACATAGTTGTGAAATAAAATAAAAATAAATATGTTTGGTTAAAAGAAATATAATATAAAATAAAAATATAAAAACATAAAAACATAAATAAAAATGAATAATGATATATAATAATTATATATATATATATATATATATTATTGGCAGATCTAACCAATAATTTTGGATCCAAATAATATAATAAATGAATATGAAAAGATAACAAAATATAATAAAAGAGAGAAAAAAATTATTAATAAACAAGCATGTTAGATTTAATGATCATAAATTTTGAGGACAATGATAAATATACATGAAATTACAAAATTTTTAGGCCCCTTTACCTCCAAACAAAATCTGTCAAAAAAAATATATATATATATATATATATATATATATATATATATATATATTTCTCTTAATCACATTTTAGATTACTTTAATAAAATAACATAACTACACTTCTTTTAAAGAATAACATTATGTTCAAAACTTTAAAATTAACATTTGTAGATCACGATCAAATTGATACTAGCCAAATACTCTTTAATTACTAGTACTATTTTTACTAGTACTATTTTGTTTTTTCTACTCATTGAGTAGACTTATTAATGACTCATCTTGATCTATATCTCTCATAATCTTACATTAACAACCTCCCATTGATATCTTAGTCTACATAACTAAAACTATAAATAAAACCTAAAATCTCATTAAATTTGCACAAACATAATTGCTACACTAACACTAAAGTACCTCTTTAAATACTAATTATCATTTTTTGACCACTTGCTGTAGACTGACTTGCTTGACATCAACATATACATTTTAATCAATTATGAATTATGTTCCTAACTTGATGTAGCTTTATACAAACATATTTTAGTTGATTATGAGTTAGGCTCCTGACTCGACTTAGCCTCATATACCTTGTAACACCTCAAATTTATAATTTAATATATTTTTACAATGTATTAAATTATACTATTTTTTAATTTAATTATTTTATTATATAAAATCATTTTTAAAAAATACAAAAAATATTATAAGAAAAAAAAGAAGGGAGAAGATTACCCTTATCTTTAAGAAGAGATAAGGATGATTAGAGAAAAAATTAAGCTTGTAATTATTATTAGCATTAAATGCAAGTAAAATAAAAAAATTAAAATTAAAACATTTTTATCATTACAAATAAGAGAGGTTATAGAGTGAAAAGTGAGAAGAGAAAAAGAGAAGAAAGGGAAAGAGAAAAGAAAAAAATATATAAGTATTGTTGATGTGATATCTATCATTTTATTTATTTTATTCGTATTTAGGATTTTTGAGTGAAATGTCCTTAATCTTATTTTATTTATTCATTTATATTTAATTATTTATAGTTATTTATTAAATTTTTTATTTATCTTGTAATCCTCTCTATTTATTAATTTATCCTTAGTTACTCACTAATTTTCTTTCTTTCTTTATATTTATTTTTTAATTTATCTCTAACTATACACTAATCTTTCATGTTTTGAACAATTTTCAATCTAATACCCAATAACACCAACATCCATACCATAATAATACATTAAAATATTAATACCAAATTAGTCTCAACATGCATTTCTACTTGCATTCAAATACCAAAATACACATATCTCCAAATTCATGTAAATTTTTATTTAAATAACTAACTCCCGTTACTTGTATCAATGCATCCAAAATTAATATTTTTTCTTTTATCTCTGGATTCCAACATAAGTTTAGTACTCCAACTTCCGACTTTAAAGAGAACTAAAAAGAATTTTCTAATTTAGTGAGATTAAAATTTAAGAAAAAAAATACCTTAACTCCCTATTTGTAGATATTTTCACTGGTTAAATATATTTAATTCTAAGAACTAAAATTGACATCAATTATATTTTTACACTTTTCTCTCCTCTATTATTATTATTATTATTATTATTATTATTTAATTTTCAAATTATAAATATTCAAAGTAATTTTTTTTAATTTGTAATAGCTAAATATTAAATAATTTTTTTAATAGTCTAAAGCAATAATAATAACTTCTTAATTAGTAGATTAAAAAATAATGATAAAAATAAAAAATAAATCTCTAATTTTTACAACATAAAAGTATTGTACATATTAAAAATATTAATAAATATCTATACATTGACAATACTCCTTGTATTATAATATCATATATGTATTAAATAATAAATATGATGATATCATTCGTAGTAAAAGCACTTCAAAGAAAAATAAATTTACATGAAAACGTTGACTATATGATATTTATAACCTACAATTTTTTTTTTTTATGTTTGTCCCTCATAATTTTTAGCCTATATAAGTGGGTAAGGGTCTCTCTTCATGAGAAGAATCACTATAGAAAGCTAAACATTTTCAAACCAAGAAAATGAAAACCCCATTTTGTTTTCCATTGCTCCTCGTACATGTTCTCTTCATGAATTTTGGTTAGCACTACCCCATAAATTAAAGTTTGTGAGTTGTATTTGTGTGTAGTGAATTTTCACAAGATTAATTATATATGAATGTGATTAGATATATATGGTTTGATGTACGAAATCAAGTGCAAATGGCAGTGGTACCTCAAACATTGTCACTGTTTTTTATCGCGTAACGAAGTTTGCTACAATCCTTGTGATGCACATTGCAAACACACATTATAGATCACCTAAAGCAATTGGATATTGTGATAGCCACTTAAATTTTTGTCATTGTGTTTATTGTGAATAATAGTTTTCACATTTATTCAATTCAATATGTAAGACCCTGAACTCAAAACTTATTTAATAAAATGTTTGCATTATTACTCTATATTCATATTTGACCCGATTTTCACTTTTTATTTAATGGGTGGTACCAGCAAATATATCTAATAGATATTCGAGGAAATAAAGGATTTTTTATGCTTCTAAGTGAACCATGATATATGATTTAAACATAATTGAATAAATTTATAATAGAATTGGTATATCTAGGAATGAGAGGGTTATAATCTTATGTCTATTATGACAACATAGTTAAAATCTATTAACATCTCTTAGGTATATTTTGAAACTTTAACTTGAACAAAAATTTGTTCTTAAAAAGTACCTCAATAGGTTGAGAGAGGAAAAATATATATAAATTACCATTAACTTCGATTCTTAAACGATGTAGAACTCATAATTTTTTTTTTCTTAATCGAGGACTAAAGAATATGAGGGTTAAGGAATAGAAGTAGAATGAGATTTTATTCTCAATTCTATGGTAGATGGCAAATATTCTAGAAAAAAGCCATGATAGAATTTTCAAACTTTTTGTAAAATATTTGTCATTTTCCTCATTACGAGGGCTTAACTTTGTATTTATAAGGCTCCTTCAAACCCCACATCATGAGTTATCATGGTATGGGCAGTGGCGGATCTTCTTGGGAGCTGAGGGGGGCTGTGACCCCCCCAAAGTTTTGTAACTCCCATGTAATTTATGATTTTGGCCCCCCCCAAACATAATGAACATTTAATATATTTACTTGTATATTTACAATTTTATCCTCTCAGCCCCTCCTTAATTTTGTAACTCTCATATAATTTATGATTTTGTTTCCCTCAAACTTAATGATCATTTAATATATTTAAGTATATATCTATAATTTTATCTTTTTACCCTTTCATATTCTTTCTTCCTTTTATATTTATTTATTAATAATATATTATTTGTTCCCCAAGATCAATGGTCAAGATCCGCACTTGGGTATGAGGATTGACGGTTTTTTCCGAGAAAACAAAAAAATATATATCAAAGTATGCATTAGAAATTATTTCCGTAAATTTGCAAGAATTTGTGGGGACACAACAACAATAGAAAATGACAAGAATAATCATAAAAATAGAAGACCTTACATGGACATAGACTAGTTAATCAAGCTCTACTAAGATCAAAATATCATTACAAGAGAAGAGAGTCGAATAAAATGCACAAACAACAAGTCCCTGCAAGAAGCCAATACATTAAAACAATAATGCTCTCAAATTTAAAGAGCAAAGAAAGAAAACCCCAAAATTCTACCACAACGCGAGACTGATTTCTTCAACCATAAATTTTTAATTACAATCCCAATGGTCAAAATAAAGAATAGTATATTGCGAACATACTGTCAAAATTTCAACTTGATCGGTAAATATAGCGGGAATCATAATTTTGCCGAGGTGACTTTGTAAATAAGCCAAATAGTTTTTTTTCTCCTCTAAGGGCTGCGAAAATTCACCCTCTCCATTCCGACCTAGAAACTCCTCTCTACTTAGGTTAAGTAAGATAAAATGAGTTTAACAAATTTGAACTTTTTAGTCACATAATTGGGAGCTTAATCCAATAATTTTGTGTGATAGGTCATTAATAGGGTCCTTCTACTACTTGATGGTTCTATAGTTTCTCGCATATGAGGCTTATCTCTTTGTAACAAGAGATAAGTATTGTAATTAATGAATGGATTAAAATAAATAATAAATAAAAATCAAATTTTAAGTATAAATAAGAGTTATATGAAGATAAATAGGTTACAAAAATTTCATAAGTACATTTATTTTATAAAAATAAAAAGGATCCAATTTAAATAAGGTTAAAAAAATTTGTTGAAATTAGTCCAATTGAATTTTGATCCAAAGTGTATCCACAATTTCGCAACCAAAATTGCGACTCGGATGACAAAAATAGGATTCTAAATGAAAGAGAATAATGGAGTTGCCACCAAATATTTATTTTAAGGAAAATATCGAAAAAAAGCCTTCAAAAGAAAAAAAAATGATGGTATGCAAAATATAAAATTGAATACGAGAGTCGATTATGTGTAGTGAATGTATTAGCATCCTGCAACATCTTTCTAAAAACAGCTTACCTTTAATTAGATGTGAAAAAGTTAAATATCTTGAAATTATTTATTTTATCCCTCAAAATTATATCTATTAAATATTACTATTAAAAATAAAAGATTTATTATTTTTTTATTTTTGTCTCGATAGAGATTATCTCTCTATTCGTAAGTATCTCCAGGTGTAATAGAGAATTAAAGTGACATAATATTTTTTTAATATTTGTGAATACTTTATTTTAATTTATTTATTTGTGTTACTAAGTTAAAGATATGTTTGAAATTATTTTAAAATTAAATAATTATGTAATAATCAAATTAAAAATATATCTAGAGTGATTATCATTTTTTTTAATTTAAGTAATAATTAGATGTGCATCCAAAGTAATCATTAATATTTAAATATATTTTTTAATATTTTATTATAATCAAATTAAAAAGTACATTTGAAATTATTATTATAATTTTATAACAACCAAATTAGACGTGGATTAATCTTTATAAAATATTTTATTACAAACCTAATAGCAATACTACTGCATATTTAATAATTCTATAACATAATATTCATAAAAAGAAAATGGTAATTATTGAAATTTAATTTGTAATATATTAATAGTGATATATTAATTTAAATCCTTTTTAAGAAAAGAAGTGAAATAATTTTTATTTAAAATTTAAATAATAATAAAAATAATGGAAAATAATATTTTAGACTCATTACTATTTATAACTTATTTTTTTGTTATGTTGTCTCCAGTTTACCAAAACAAAATAAAAAAACATTAAGCCTAATAATTTATAAAAATAAAAATACTTTCAGATTTATGTTATATTTTTGTTATTTTCACCCAAGCCTAAATATAATTTATTTTTCTGAATCCGTTTGTATCATCGACCCAAAAGTATCCTACAAATTTGTTGGACCCAAAATTAATTCACTTCACTGTTGGAAACTTGTTTTTACTGTTTCCACTCCCAAACATATCTTGGATCGTGCCTCACTTAAGCCCACATCTTTTTCTTAGTCCATATCCCTTTTAAACTTTCATCTGGGTCCGCGTGAGATGAGAGTGAGGCACGATAACCTCAGGCGAAATGGAGGTAGCAAGGAGGTTGGTTTGCGATGGGTCTCTGTGGAGGTGAATGGCCAACAGTTGGGGCTGAATGGTGAGGGAGAAATGGATGTGGAGTGGCCATGACTAGGGATGGCTTTGAGGGTGACGTTTGCGTTAGGTTCACGGTGGTGCGATGGTGAGGAGAGTGAATGAGCTAGAAATGGGATGATTGAGATTTGGATGCGGGTGAAGGTGAAGTTAGTGAGTGATAACTAGGGTGAGGCGCTGGGTGAAAAAAATGAAAGATGGGAGATGAGAATATGCAGTGGCAAAAAGGGGGATAGGGTGAGTTAGCCACAAGGGTTTCCTCCAGTAATGGGGTTTGAAGGTCACAGTTGAGGTGGCGCGACAAGCTCACGATGGTGACCGTCAGTGGCAAAGGTAAGTGTATTTTTATTTTTGTTTTTAATTTTTATTGTTTTTCTTTAAAATATGTATAATCTGGGGAATAATTGATTAGAGTCACAATAGTCATACAACAAAGAGGAATAAATACAAACACTGTACTTCATAAACACTACATAGAGTGTTGAAATTTTTAACTTTCTTTTGAATTTGTGGATTGTTGATTTGTTGTTCTGTGATGATGGGTTTTTATTGACTGTCCTCTCTCCCCGTTGAGGGTTTTTAATCTTTCAATTTACAGAGAAACCCTTATTATTGGTGAGCCCAATCTCAGGTAGCATGGTAGGTGGCTTGAGCATTGTAGGTGGCTGAAGCATTCTTCATAAACACTAGAGCATTGTAGGTGGCTGAAACATTCTTCATAAACACTACATAGAGTGTTGAAATTTTTAAGTTTCTTTCGAATTTGTGGATTGTTGATTTGTTGTTCTGTGATGATGAACTTTTATTGATTGTCCTCTCTTCCCATTGAGGGTTTTTAATCTTTCAATTTATAGAGAAATCCTTACTATTGATTAGCCCAATCTCAGGTAACATTGTAGGTGGCTGGAGCATTGTAGGTGACTAGAGCATTGTAGTAGAGAAGGTGAAACATGAAAATAGGACTGACTCCATGGCAAAGGAAAATGATTTCTTTCTTTCCTTCTTTATTATTTTGGTATATTTGGATTTTTTTCATTTATTTTGTCTATTTTTTATAGGAAAAAATGAGGTGTTTACAACAATACGTGTTATTCTTTCATAGGAAAAAATAAAAGGTAAAAATGGGACAGGGAGAAAAGAGAAAGAAAAAAAAGTAAAAGAGGAGAAAAAGATAAGAAGAGAAATGGAGAGATAAAAAATATCAACACTCTTATCCAATTTCAAGATATCTTCTGTACTTACAAAGACAAAAAATGAAATATTTATAATTTTATTTATAACTATGATTTATTAGAAAGTTATCCATAAATTCATTATATTTATCTATTTTATAATTATGATTATGCAGTCAATATCCCTAACTTATTTATTTATTTATTCAGTTATTTACCACCATCCTTTTATATCATGCATTACAAATGGCAACTTACCTTCTTAATATTCTCTAAAATAAATAATTAGCTTATCGGACTCCTGTTCAATTTCTCTACATAAAAGACCCTTCTTATTCTCATCATCTTAATGTATTTGGTTGGTTGATTGTGTTATTCCCCTTTCCCATCTACACTAATAAATAAGCTATCCTTATTTTTTATAACAATCAATTCCCTTTCGCCAAAGTACATTCTCCATCCCACACATAATTTCCTGGATCATAGTTTGACTCCTTATGTAGACTCCCAAAATTGCCCAACCCAAAATACAACAACTAGCACCTTAATGCCTAATACATGACATTCTCACATCTCCCCCCTCTCTTGTCCAACCTCTTCCAATTCAAAACTAACGACCAGTTACTAGGAGGCAACATGGGATTTCTAAATTCAACAAGAAATACAATTTGCTAACTCATGTTACTAAATCACCTCTTCCTCTTAATCCTGTGTTTGCTCTAAATGACCCAAATTGGAAATTGGCCATGAATGATGAATACAATGTTCTTATTAAAAATAAAACATGGGAGTTGGTGCCTGTTTCCCCTAATGCTAATGTGATTTGTTTTGTATGGATTTTTAAACATAAAGAAAATTCTGATGGCTCTTTTGAGAGGCATAAAGCCCTTCCTATTGGAAATGTGTTGGAGTGGATTTTGGCAAAAAATGTGTTTTTGTATGGAGAATTGAAAGCAACTATTTACATGCATCAACCTATGAGTTTTCGAGATCCCACACATCCTATGTTTGTTGGCTAGAGAAATCTATCTATGGGCTCAATCTAGCTCCCCATGCATGGTACAAAAGGTTAATATATGTTTCTACTATTATGTTCTCTCATAACAAACCTAATCATTCTCTTTTCATATACCATAAAGATACTAATATGGCTTACATTCTTCTATACGTGCATGATATTATCTTAATTGCTTCATCTGATATTCTTTGCCTAGTTCATTTTGAATCATGTTAGTTTTGAATTTATAATGAAAGTTTTGGGGCCATTGAGTTATTTCTTAGGATAGCTTTTACTCATCATGCAAGTGGTGTATTTTTATCGCAAAGGAAGTATGCTAAAGAGATCATAGAAGGGGTTGACATGTCCTTTTACAAGCCTAGCCTCACACCGGTTAATACTAAACCAAAGTTGAATGTTCATTCTAGCACATCTTATGATGATCCTTCTCATTGCAGTCTGTACAATATGTTACTTTCACAAGACCTGACAGTTCTTATGTTGTTCAATAGATTTGCTTATTCATGCATTACCTAATGAAGCAACGCATACATGTTAGGGCATTCTTCACCATGGTTTACATCTATATTCATCCTCACCAATTACTCTTATTTTTTGGTTAGGATAAGTGACGAATCTCCTTGAATGTTGATAGAGTCATGATTTCCCAAAATTTTGTATCTTATAAATGTATTTTTAATTTTGGTCTCAAAAATTTAATAATCATTAAATATAATTCTATATTTACAATTTTTAGCCTCTTACTTTTTGTAATTCTTTTACCTCTTAGTATTTATTTATTATTTATTAATAATATATTATTTTTTGTCTTCAAAATCAATGATTAAGATATGCAATGATTGAGGTGGATGTCTAAACACTAAATATACATTTAACATTTGAAGGATACTTTTATCGTTCTCTAATATAGAAGTTGAATATGGAGAGGAGGTCAATTTAGGCATAGCAATAGGGCGGGTTGAGTTTTGCCTCCCAGACCTCTATCCCCGATTTTTTTAATCGTTTTTGTTCTCATCCTTGTCTCCGATTTTCATCGGCGATAGAAATTAAGTCTCCATCTCCATTAAGTTTCGATTTTTCCGCCCTTGTCCCGTCCCCATCCTACCTCGTCCCTAATCTGTATTATTTTAAAAAAAATTATATTTGTAATAAATTAATTTTACTATTTTTATATATTCTTTATACATAAATAAATATTTTTAATTTTATAATTGGTAATTATTATTAATTAAATATATATTTTAATTTATTATATTTATATTAAAATATGTATGTAAAAGAAATATTTAATTATTTTTTCTTTATACAAATATAAAATATTTATAACATTATTATTATTATTATTATTATTATTATACTGTATTCAAACATTTGATTATATATAAATAAATTTATTTTTAAGTTATTATTTAAAAATATAAAATATATATTTTATAAGAAAATATTTAAAAAGTAAATTTTTATTTAATTAGTTTTTTAACATCTCAAAATTGATTATGTAATTTTTTTTTCAAATTTAATGTATTAAATAATATTTTAGATAAATTAAATAATTTTAAAATAAAAGACTTATTTATGTAAAATAAATAAATAATATATATATATATATTAAAATAATAATCATAGTTTAAATTATTATTAAAATATATATATTATTTAAATTTTTAGTATATATATATATATATATATATATATATAATAATAAAAATGGATGAAGATATGAATCTTATCTCTAGTTTTAATTAATGATAAGAAATTATATATAAAAAAAAAAATCAAAGAAGAGATAAGATTTCAAATATTTGTTGGAAGTTACACATTGTCTACCTTATGTTTTTTGGTATGGTTTAAATACATGTTAGATTACTTTGTTAGAATCGCGCAGCGGAATAATCGCGTGGTCGGACAAAAATTAAGAGGGGTGAATTGATTTCTTAATAAAAATTAGGTTTTCAAAATTTTTCCCAAATTTTACCGATTAAAAACTGTGTAAATGTAAATAGAGAAAGGGATAGAGTCTTACACAGGAAATTTATACTGGTTCGGATCAAAAGACCCTACGTCCAGTTGCTAATCACTCAACAGAGGATTAACGCTGTCACTATAAACAAATTGTTACAATACAAATTACAATGGAAGAGATAAAGTAAAAGATGACACTTTTCTTGAAACCCACAAGAGATGAAGAACAACTTTTCCCAGAGACAGCACAACACACAATCCACTAAGAACTCCACTTAATGATTCTTATCGCTTCTAGCCCACACCAGGTTCAGAAAGCCCCCTTTCCTTGCAACAAACAGTTCTCTGGCACTCACAACACTTAACTTTTGTATGAAAAAGTTGTTCTTAATTTCTGAGTGCCAAAGGAGAGTTTAAGTAGGGAAATTAGGGTTTAGGATTTGGGGATTTCGAAACTAGGGTTCTTGGTAATTGAGTTTTCAAAAATAGGGTTTGTTTGAAGTTTAAAATCAGAAACAGACTGGAATAATCGATTATTTGGAGTAATAATCGATTAAAAGCGAGCCAAATACGTCGGAACCCAATACTCTCGGTTTAATCGATTATTTGGTGAAATAATCGATTATCCGTACTGAACTATACAGAATAATCGATTATTTTGTCTGTTTAATCGATTAAAGCGATGAGTTTGTACGAGAAAATGGTTTTCTCACTTGTTTTAATCGATTATTTACCTATTTAATTGATTAAAGCCGAGCTCGAATGATAAATTTGAGCTTTTTGAAGCTTCTAAGTTACGGACTATGTACAGCTATCTTAGATTTTATAATTACAGACTCAATCAAACTAAAACAGTTATTATAATACAAAAATCATCAATCTTC